GAGCCGAGTGGCCCGTATCCAGAGCTTGTGGGCTGCCTCATGTACCTGATGACCTGCACTCGACCTGACCTTGCATACCCTCTTAGCATCCTAGCACGCTATGTCGCTCCTGGCCGTCACCGGAAGGAGCACATGGATGCTGCTAAGAGGGTGTTGCGCTACTTGTGCAGTACGTCGGGCATGGGGCTTGTGCTTGGAGGGCGAGACCGGGTTGTTCTCACAGGGCACTCAGACGCTTCTTGGGCGGACGACCAGGCTACTCAGCGGTCGTCCCAGGGTTACACCTTCAGCCTTGGCTCTGGCTCAGTTTCTTGGCGTTCTACTCGCTCTTCTTCTGTTCTCAGCTCCAGTTGTGAGGCTGAGATCTACGCCACAGCCATGGCTGCTCAGGAGCTACGCTGGCTGACCTACCTGCTGACCGACCTCGGAGAGCGGCCTCGTTCTCCTCCAGTGCTGTACGTCGACAACAAGGCTGCCATTGCCTTGTGTGAGGAGCACAGACTGGAGCACAGAACGAAGCACATCGCTCTGCGGTACTTCCTTGCTCGAGAGCTACAGCAGCGTGGTCAGCTTTGTCTGCGTTACGTGGCCACGGAGGCCAACACTGCTGATGTGTTCACCAAGGCGCTTCAGCCTTGTGACCATCAGCGCTTTTGCACTCTACTAGGCCTTGTACCTACTGGGCCTCACTTGCTTACCTCTTGACCTTGCTTGTACTGTGATCACTATATATATATGCCTACTTGTTTACTTTTGCTAGGTTGTGATCACTGTATCTCTTGCTTTGTTATAAACCTGCATGTGAACTGGTCTTGTGACCGCTTGCTTGTGCTCGGAATTTGTGTGGAATCCTTGAGATCCACCCTGAGCTTGCTTTACTTTGCTTTGACTGGTCTTGTGACCCTGTGGTTGTCTCCCACTGCGCCTATGGGGGTGTGTCAAACATTGCATGTTTATATTGTCTAGGCTGTAGTGGGTTACACCTTAGGGGGTACACAAAGTTAGGGTTTCCTACTTGTACCAAACTCTGTTCTAGTTCATTCATTCCTGCTCAGTTATTTCTGACAACCTGTAGCCAGAGGAGTGTGCTGTGGCGAGGACCAGGTGAAGCTGAAGCGCTGAAGGACGTGCTGCACCATGTGTGACTAAGTCAGTGTGATGGTGCGGCGTGCTCTGTCCCGGGTGATCTGCAAGCCAATGTAGCTGCGCAACTCACCCAGGTCTGTGCACGTGTGTCTCTTCTGCAGCTCCGACTTCACCAGGGCGAGAGCCTCAGTGTCAGCAGTGGCAAAGACCAAGTCGTCGACGTACACGAGGATGTAGAACGGCGGCAGCGAAGTGTCGGTGCGTAGGAACAGCGACGGGTCAGCTGTCGAAGGAGCGAACCCAAGAGCCGCCAGTGTCGTCCTCAGTGTGTCGTGCCACTCACGTGGCGCCTGGCGGAGACCGTAGACTGGCCGCTGGAGGCTCCACTGGGTACCAGGAGGGAACGACCCAGTGAAGCCAGGTGGGCGGCGCAGCCAGATCTCCTCGTGCAGGCTGCCCTGTAAGAAGGCTGTGCTGAAGTCAAGAGAGTGAAGCTCGTTGTCACGCTGAGCAGCAACGTGCAGCAGCACCCGAAGAGTAGTCATCTTCGGGGTAGGGGAGAAGGTCTGAAAGAAGTCAACTCCCTCACGCTGACTGAAGCCTCGGGCGACGTAACGAGCCTTGAAGACAGGCGGAGAACCCGGCGGCCGCTTCACCCTGAAAATCCACATGCCATCGACGATGTTCGCCCCAGGAGGGGGAACCTCATCGACGTAGGTGCCTGTGGACTTCCAGGATGCCATCTCTGCATCCATGGCTGTCTGCCACTGAGAGGAGTACTCACCCGCGATCGCCTCAGCGTAAGAGCGCGGGGTCGGGATGTCTGGTGCATCCGGGTCTCCCTCAGGGGCAAGCAGCATGGCCACGAGATGAGGCGCAGCGGCTGCAAGACACTCAAGGTCCTCGTGCCTGTCCTCAAGGACGTCCGTGCCAAGAGCACACTCACCCCCGACGGACGGAGAACAGACAGACTCAGACTTAGCAACAAGACTAGCAGCGTAGTCTAGACGACAGGCAGCAGCAAAGTCAACAAGCTCAACAACCATGGCAGACGCAGCAGCAGACTCAAACGACGGGTCAGTGACAACAGTGGCTAACAGACGCGTGACAGTAGGGTGCTCAGCACGAAACTGATCTGACGCCGGGTCAGCAACGTCAGGCAGAGAGGACGCAGGGGGAGAAGGCAGAGGAACACGCTGCGGAGCAGAAGGAGGACGACGGACTACGAGGTGTGCGCCGGGGACAGCCGGCTGACGCGGACGGGAAACACGACTACCAGTACGACCAGCGCGGACAGCGCGAGCAGGCGAGACAGGACGCGACGCAGGCTCACGACGCTCAGCAGGACTGCCCAGCTGCTCAGTGTAAGGAGAAGGAGCGGGCAGTGGGGAGCCAGACTGTAACGGAAGACCAGTAGACGACGGGAGGGTAAGAACCTGACGCGGCACAGAGTCAGGCGGTGGCAGAGACGACGGAGACGGCGGAGCGAAGAACAGTCATGGCTGCGCAGTGCCACCAGCACCAGTAGCTCCAGTGCCTCCAGCAGCTCCAGAACCTCCAGCGCCAGCACCCCCAGCGCCAGCACCACCAGCAGCTCCAGAACACCCAGCGCCAGCACCTCCAGCGCCAGCACCACCAGCAGCTCCCGAACCTCCAGCGCCAGCACCTTTCGGCAGCACCAACACCACCAGCAGCTCCCGAACCTCCAGCGGCAGTACCAGCAGTGCCAACGCCACCAGCAGCTCCCGAACCTCCAGCGCCAGCACCTCCAGCACCAGCACCACCAGTAGCAGCACCCACAGACGTAGTACCTCCAGCCCTAGCAGCTCCAGTACCCCGAGTACGAGCACCTCCGGGACGAGGGACCCCAGCACCTCCTGAAGACAAAGGACCAGCACCACTCCCAGCTCCAGCGACGTCAGCAGAAGAACCCCTAGCAGCAGAGCCCCGAGCCCCTGCAGCACGACCCTGACGGCGACCGTACCAGTCGTGCAGCTGCTGTGAGGTGAGAGGCACACGCGGACGAAGGTGGTCACTCCAAGGAGACCACGCAGCAGCAGGCTCGGCACCCGCAGGTGCCTCACCCCCAGACTCAACACCCCCAGGCTCCTCACGCTCGGGCCCAGCACCCCCAGGCTCAGCACCCCCAAGCTCCGCACCCTCAGGCTCAGCACCTCCAGACTCCGCACCCCCAGGCTCAGCACCCCCAGGCTCCTCACGCGCAGGCACAGCACCCCCAGACTCCGCACCCCCAGGCTCAGCACCCCCAGGCTCCTCTCGTAAAGGCTCAGTACCCCCAGGCTCCTCTCGCACAGGCTCAGTACCCCCAGTCGTAGCACCCCCAGTACCAGCACCCCGAGCAGGACCTGAGTCACCAGTGACCTCAACAGGCGCAGGCACAGGAGGGTCTACCTGAGAAACACCTGAAGGAGCAGGACCTGGCGCGGGGAGGGGGGCTACCAGGGAAGGACCTGGAGCGAGCGCGAGCGGCGGCAGAGGGCGAGGGGCAGTGCAGTAGGGAAACAGACGGTAAAAGGGGACTGACTCGTCAAAGGTGACGTCCTGAGACGCAAAGACGCGACGCGAGGTGGGGTCGTAGAACTGCCAGCCAGGCGCGTCAGTAGGAAAACCAAGGAAGACGCAGGGAATGGCGCGAGGGGAGAGCTTGTCCGCGGTGGTATCGCGGACAAAGGCACGAGCACCCCAGACCCAGAAACGCGACGCATCGCCAACCTTCCCCGTCCACAGCAGTGTGGGCGAGGTCTCCGGTAAGGAGACACGGGGCCAGAGGTTGAGCTGACGCGCGGCGTACCGGACCGCAAACGGCCACAGAAAATGGGGGGCAGCCGCATGGATCATGGAGGTACGAGCAACCTCCATGACTAAACCAATGCGGCGCTCAGCAACCCCATTCTGCTGCGGGGAGGCCGGAAGCGTGAACGACTGGGTGATGCCGTGCTCCGCACAGTAGGCTGCCAAGAGGTCGGAGGAAAACTCACCACCTCTGTCAGAGTGCAGACGCAGGACAGGAAAGTCCCGCTCGAACCGCTCGCGAAGCTGGAGACGAGCAGCGCGGATCCAGGGGATCAAAACAGCAGGGACGTCCCCCTTGCTGCGCAAGGGGAAGACCGTGGTGTAACACGTGTAGTCGGCGACAAACCAGCAGGAAGTACTGCTCGCGGCCGTGCCGCTGGACGCGGGCTGGGCCCCACACGTCCAGGTGGAGCGTCTGCAGTGGAGCCTCTATGGGAGGAAACGAGGAGGAGTGAGGAGCGGCGCGCTGTCGCCCCTCGACGCAAGGAATGCAGGGTGGCGCAGGCGAGGGAGGGAGGGCAGGCAGAGACCTGGGAAGCCCAGAGACCAGGGAGCGAGAGTGCATGCTACGCAGGCGAGGCAGGGAGGGGTGACCAAGGCGGTGGTGCCACAGGAGAGTGTCGTGCGACAGGCGGCGACACTCACACTGGGTAGCTACCTGAGCAGACGCATACAGCTGTGGAGACAGAGGAGTGTAGCGTGAAACAGTGGTGAGGGTGTACAGACTGGACCCAGGCTCACGAGTGAACGTGGCCAGGTGGCGGCCAGTCTTGGAGCACGTGCAGATCGCCACACGCTGTCCTCCAGGAGTCCAGGTGTCAACCCAGTGATCCTGAAGAACAGCGTTGCTCACCAGGTTCTTAAAGAACGAGGGGATGTGGAGACCTGACAGCTCACCAGACGGGACCGCCGGGCACGGAAGCACAGTCGTGGCTCGTGCAAGCACTGGGCCCCCAGAGGGGTCAGCCAGTGAGACAGGGACAGGTGCAGGGAGAGTAGTGACCGTGGTACTGTCGCGAAAGAAACAGCGGGAAGCACCTGAGTCAAGAGTGAAGGTGTGCAAGGCCTTAGCAGGCGCAGTACCAGAGAGAGCAGACTCACTAGCACCTAGAGCTGCAGGCGCTATATCAGGGTCAATACCAGGATCATGCGGCATACACAAGAAACAATCACCCTCAGCACTAACAGTCAATGCATACATGGCAGCAAGAATAGCATCATAGTCAAGATCAAAGATAGCAACACCACGCTTAAGCAGGTCTGCCCTGTTGGGCATCTCAGTAGCCGCAGGAAACTTGAGGCGCCAGGCGTCGCTAAGCCGAGCAAAACAGCGAGCTTCAGTGTGAAGACCATTGCATGGGCGACCCTTGCGGGGACCTGAGCGAATGATATAGGGGCAGTGACCAGGACCCCCAGACGCCCCACGCCCGGCATACCAGTCATGGAGCTGCTGGGTCGTGGGGGCCTGGCGCTGTCGCTGCTGCTGCTGCTGCGGCTGCTGCTGCTGCTGCTGCTGCTGCTGCTGCTGCTGCTGCTGCTGCTGCTGCTGCTGCTGCTGCTGCTGCTGCTGCTGCTGCTGCTGCTGCTGCTGCTGCTGCTGCTGCTGCTGCTGCTGCTGCTGCTGCTGCTGCTGCTGCTGCTGCTGCTGCTGCCCCTGGCCACCACTGCTGCCACCACCACTGGCTCCTCCCCCACTACCGCCGCTGCCACCGCCACTGCTCCCGGTACCACCGCCTCCTCCCCTACCGCCGCCACCATCCCGACCACCCCCACCTCCTCCACCACCCCCGCCACCACCACCGCCGCCCCCTCCACTGCCACCCCCACCTCCCCCACCATCCTTGCCGCTCCGGCTGCTGCGACGCCTCCCACTAGGAGCGGAAGCAGCCCCGACCTCCTCAGCACCAAGGTAGTCGAGAGCAGCGGCAGCAGAGGCGTAGGAGGGGGCGAGAGGGGAGGGGGAGCACCCCTCAAAGACGGGAGTGCGAGGAGTGCCACGAGCCTGTGAGGATCTGGTTCAGGAAAGATTGAACTATTGAATGATGCACCTGGGTACAAAGCGAGGCTATATATAGGCTCGACACAAAGGCAGTAACCCTGGTGTTACTAGAAGGTTCCGCGGGTCGCGAAGCGTCCCGAACGGGTCCTTCCCGAATTCGGTAGAAGGCAATTCGGTGGCAACCGAAAAGCCTAGAATTCGGTGCACTCAACCTAGTTCGGTGCCTATAACTATAATAAATATAGTAAAGCAACGAACCTAGGAAATCTAGCAAAAGCAAGCAAAATAAAGCAAAGCTAAGCTAGATAATGCATAATAAAGCATAATCAAGCTAGTAAATCATAGCAAAGTCGTCGTACTCTCACACGTCCCCCCCTCAAATCTGGGTGGCGTGAGATACACCCTGCTTGACAAGATAATCCTTGAGAGCACGGCGTGCGTTGCCCATATCAGCTTCTGCAACCCAACTGTCCTCCGACGGGTCGTATCCCTTCCAACGTATCAGGAACTCGAGCGTGTTGCCGCGTCTGCGTCGATGAGCGAGAACTCGTTCCACCTCGTACTCTGGTTCATCCTGTACGAGAACAGGTGGTGGTGGCGGTAGCTGTCGTCCTGTGAACTGCTGGTTGGGGTCCTTGTAGGGCTTCAGTAGCTGAACATGGAAAGCGTTGTGAAGCTTCCACGTAGTAGGTAAGCGCAAGCGGAATGTAACTGGTGTCACCATTGCCTCAACGCGAAAAGGACCACAGAAGCGAGGCCGGAGCTTGGACGGAATGTGGGATAAGTCCAAGTTGCGTGTGTCGAGAAGCACCTGATCTCCGACTGCTACTGAGTGATCTCGTCGCTGTCGATCGGCATACTGCTTCTGGGAGTTCTGCATCGTGGTGAGACGTCGCTGAGTCTTCTCCCATAGCTGCTGCATGGTGGTGACGAAGTCGTGTGCGGCTTGGACGTGTGCCGGTGTGGTTGGCTGCTGTGGTGTAAGTGGTTCTCGTCCATAGCACAGGAAGAAAGGAGATTTCCCTGTGGCCGCATGCGACGCGTTGTTGTAAGCGAACTCAAGCGTCGGTAACTGTAGATCCCAGTGGCTGATGTCGTCCTTGCAAGCTGTGCGCAGTAACTGTTCAACCACCTGATTGAGTCGCTCAGTCTGTCCGTCAGTCTGGGGGTGGTACGCTGAAGACATCGCAAGCTTAGTCCCCAACAGTCCCATGAGTTCCCTCCAGAACTTACTAGTGAACTTTGGGTCTCTGTCTGAGATGAGTGTAGCGGGGATGCCGTGAATGGTGATGATGCGGTCGAAGAAGAGGCGAGTAGTTGCTTCAGCAGTAGCTGTGGCGTTGGTCGGTATGAAGTGACCCATTTTAGAGAACTTATCGATCACTACGAGGATGGAATCATGTTTCCGTGAGGTCGAGGGAAGTCCTGTGATGAAGTCGAGGCTAACGACCTGCCATGGCTGCTCCGGTACGGGTAGAGGCTGAAGTAACCCTGCTTTCTTCTGCTTGCTACTCTTCATCCGCTGGCACGTGTCGCATGAGGTGACGAACTGCTGCACGTCTGCTGCCATCCAGGGCCAGTAGTAATACTTTGCTATTCCCGCTAACGTCTTGTTGCTCCCGAAATGTCCCGCGTATGCCACGTCGTGGAACTCCTCCAGTAAGATCTGTCGGAGCGGGGCATAGTTCGGTACCCAAATCTTTCCCGATCCCTTTCTTACAGCTAAGTCATTCTCTCAGTGTAACAGCTTCTGTTTCTCTGCTGTAGCGATATCTGCGTCCACGGAGTATCCATGTTGGAATAGACCCTTGAGTAGAGGGTTCATCCCGTCGAGCTGGATGCCTGCTACGTGACCGGGGCGGCTCAACGCGTCTGCTTTGTTGTGTAGCCCGGGCTTGTAGACGATGTCGTAGTGGAAGTGGGTTTCCAGGAAGTCCACCCACCGCACCTGTCGTCGTGAGAGTGTCGGCTGCGACTTCAGGTATTTGAGGCTGCAGTGGTCAGTGTAAACTGTAGTCTTGGCTCCCTCTAGGTAACACCTCCACGCCTTGAAGGCTGTGACTATCGCTAAGGCTTCCTTGTCATGGATGGGGTAATTCAGTTCTGCTCTGTGTAGCTTCTTACTGAGGTAGGCGATGGGTTGCAAACCGCGTCCGTGATCCTGCATCAGTACTGCTCCGACTGCTTGGTCACTAGCGTCTGCTTCCACCACGTAGTCTCTGTCTGGATCCGGTAGGATGAGTACTGGTGCTGTAGTCAGTGCTGTCTGTAGCTGCTCCATGGCTTGTTGTTGAGGAGTATCCCATTTATAGGGCGTATCCTTCTTCAGTAGGTTGGTCAGTGGCGCTGCTATCTTAGCGTACTGCGGCATGGACCTGTAGTAGTTGGCGAAGCCTAGGAATTGCTGCAACTCCTTCACGTTCTCTGGAACTTTCCACTTCTTGACAGCTTCGATCTTCCGCGGGTCCACGTGTACGCCCTCCGGTTGACCCTGTCAATCTCGGGGTTGAACCGCTTCAGAAAATCACGCCCCAAGATGAAATCTAAACCCTTGATGTTCGTGATCGGCAACGTCAGCTTCCACCTCGACGCCCCTATCTGCAGCTGCAGTGTTGACTCGCCGTGGATGGGAAGCTTCGTACCGTCCACCATCGTTGCTGTAAACTGGGTCTCCTCCGATGACTCTCCGATTTTCTCCAACGTCCCGCGGTCGCACACCGAGTGGGACGCACCACTGTCCACCAGTGCCTGGAGGCGTCGCCCATTGCAGATCACCTCGAGTACTAGTGGCTGCTGCCGCTCCGAGTAGGTGTAGATGGTGTTGCTTACAGAATCAAATCCGAGGCCGATTCAGCTTCTCTAGGGCCTGGAACCTTCCCCTAAGCCTTTGCAGCTGTGTAGGCTCCTGTGGGGAACGGCCGGGAGCCTTTGAACAGGGCTGCTGGGAGAGAATATTAACTCCTCGGAACGCTCGACCCTTATTAGCGCTCCGGAGTAGGGTCCCCATACTACCCGGTACCGGTACCGGTTTAATTTCTGACTCTCCCTTAAAATAGGCTTGAAAACCACGAGAAGTAATATTCTTAGTTGTCGGGGTATACGGCTGGAGTTTCCCAGTCGGTGCAGAGTCTTGTTTCGCGGAGTCTCCATTTGTCTCGGCGTTTTCCCCTGGTGCCGGCTGGTCGTGACGTTTTAAATTCGCGCCACCGTATTCTCCTTTTTTCGCCCTCTCCGAAGTTGCCACGTTGTCCGTTTTCTGCTTCGGGGGTGCTACACTGTTCTTGCCCTTCAGCTCCGTACGTACTTTCTTCATTTTCCAACACGCCAAGATACGATGTCCTGTAGCGCCGCAAAACCCGCACATCGCATTTTTTGCTAGCCGCTGCGTCGCATCGTCCTTGTCGTTCTCCATCGGGTCGGCAGTCGTGGGTGATGCCAATCGCTCCATGCCACTAGTTGGCTTGTTGCGTCGTGTTCCGTAGTAGCTACTGTTCAACGCGTCGAACTGTCCGATCAGTGCTGCCCGAAACTGCGCCCACGTCTCTTCGCCTTGGACTATTCGGTTAATAAATCACTCTAGAGCTGGGCCTCGTAACAGTGTTGCTGCGAGCCGTATGCGCAATGCGTCTTGGTTGAGGGTCGTGCATCCAACGGCTTCGAAGAAATTTTATAATACAGCTACAAATCGATGGACGTCACTCCTATTCGCTCTAGGATCAAACGCGTCTGGTCGCCTCGGCTTTACTGCTTCGAGATTAAATGTAGCTGCTGCCGTTGTCGCAGGTACAATTATCGGTGTCGCCGTCGTCGCTTCTGCTGCTGCTGCGGCTACCGATTGGTTCGCAAGGAGTTTTTCGAGTCGTGGGAGCGCCGCAAATATCTGCTTATGCTCAGCACGTAACTCCGCGATTTTTCGTATAAAGAAATCTCTATTTCCCTCCCTATTGGCGATTTACAGAAAGATGCGCGACGAAAATAATTGAATTATGGGTGCTGGTCGACTTACTGCGAGTCGAGTTGACTGTAGAATCGACGAGCACAAATTCTGTACGTCGCGGTAATCTCTCCTAAGCGAAATTCGCGTCCGATCTCGGCCGTTGAGGAGAAACTCGATCTGACGGTCGAAATTCCAACTTTTCACCAAGATTTCTGAGGAGTGTTCAAAACCGAATTGAGGGGGACTTAGAAAAAATCACGCGGAACTGGTTTTACATACCCGTATCGGCGCGTCCGTCGTCGCCCCCGCGGTTTTTAAAGGCCGGAACTAAGCGGAAGAAGAACTCGAGTGTAAACAGGCTCTGGTTACCAAGTGTGAGGATCTGGTTCAGGAAAGATTGAACTATTGAATGATGCACCTGGGTACAAGGCGAGGCTGTATATAGGCTCGACACAAAGGCAGTAACCCTGGTGTTACTAGAAGGTTCCGCGGGTCGCGAAGCGTCCCGAACGGGTCCTTCCCGAATTCGGTAGAAGGCAATTCGGTGGCAACCGAAAAGCCTAGAATTCGGTGCACTCAACCTAGTTCGGTGCCTATAACTATAATAAATATAGTAAAGCAACGAACCTAGGAAATCTAGCAAAAGCAAGCAAAATAAAGCAAAGCTAAGCTAGATAATGCATAATAAAGCATAATCAAGCTAGTAAATCATAGCAAAGTCGTCGTACTCTCACAGAGCCGCACCCACAGCAAGAATGTTCTTCTCAGCTGCCAAGAGGTGCTTCTCGAAGTCGTCGACGGTGAGAGCGGTAGGGTCTAGAGCGAGAAAGTGGTCCCTGACTGAGCGAAGAGTGTCAGGGAGGCGGGTGACGAGGAAGTAGAGCGTAAAGTACATCGGCGAAGTGTTCTTGGCGAGGAACTCATCGGTAAGGACGGTACGGAAACGAGTGTCACTAGCGCTCAGGTGAGAGATGAGGTCCTCAGCAGTGTGAAACGAGGACAGGTCTGGAAACAGGTAGGGTAGCATGAGACGGCCTAGCGCTGCAGTGGCCGGGGAGGAATAGCGCGCAACTAGAGCGTACAGTGCCTTAGCAGTTTTGTGCTGGCCAAAATGCGCGCGCTCAGTGATCGGCAGATGATTGCGAATAGCGAGGCGCGCAGCAGCATCGCGAGTCTGCCACTGTGAGCGGTCGAGAGCAGGAGCATCGTCAGCAGGAGCAACGGCAGTGCCAGACGCGTGATCGAACAGTGAAACGCCGTCTTTGGCATCAGTCATAAGGAACAATGTGAGATCGTCGAGCCAGGTGGCAAACTCGATCGGGCTACCGTCAGGCTCAAACGAGAGAACGTTGAACGTCGCCATAATCGCAGTGCAGGCAAAGGGAGCCGGCAAAGGCAGCAGTAAGGCTGGCAAGCGCAGTTAAGACAAACAGGCGCACTTCAGGCAAGGCACACAGCAGGCAGGCGCTCTTCAGGCAAGGCCTATGGCAGGCAGGCACACTTCAGGCAAGGCGTAAGGCAGGCAGGCACACACGAGGCAAGGTGCAAGGCCGGCAGGCACGCGGCTAGAGCGAACGCGCGGCACACGGGCGACGAAGTGCGCAAGGCAAGGCGGCGGCGCACAGGTAGGGCAGGGCACGCAGCTGCGGGCTGCGTGCGGCTACAGGCTGCGCGCGGCTGCGGGCTGCGCGCGGCTACGGGCTGCGCGCGGCTGCGGGCTGCGCGCGGCTGCTGATTGCGCGCGGCTGAGGGCTGCGCGCGGCTGCGCGGGCTCGACGCGGGCTGCGCGAGCAGTGCGCGGGGCAGCTGCGGGCCGCACGAGGGCTGCGCGGGCCTAGGGCGGGCTGCGCGGGCGACGAGCGGGGCGCGACGCGGCTGGCAGCAGCTGCGCACGTTAGAAAGAAGAGAATACGCGCGCGCGCAGCCGAGGCGCGCGCGGGCAGCAGGCAAGGCAAAGGCAGGTAGGACCGTAGGAGAGGTAACGTGGTAACGGTGGGCCCAAACTTAGGTCCTAAAGACCTTATCTGCTCTGATACCATCTTAGACTTAGGCATTGGTGATTCAACTACAGCCACAAGAAGTTTTTTAAGTAGGAAAACCCTAAGGGGTTATACCCCACAGTATCTACCCCACTACAGCCTACCAATAACTACAATATATAACATATAAATATGTTTGACAGTTGTTCCGGAGTGCCAGGTGCTTGTGATTGTGCTTGCAGTGCTCATGCGTCGTCGTTTTGCAGGGACGTGCGTTCGGTCGACAGCGCCACAATTTCTTCGGAGCTTTCGTGAAGTTGGCGCAACAGCTCGTTCAGACGGTCCTGTGTGAGGGTGGTGACATCAATGCGTTCAGCCATGGCGAAGGGCGTCGGCTCGGCTTAGTCTAGGCGCAGTCGTGGCTGCACGCGTTTACGAGAGAACGCGAGGACAGCGGCTCCTAGGGGCTAAGGTGCGTGAGTCCCTTCGAGTGAAAAATCAAAAGTTTATTTCTTGGGATCCGGATATGCGCGGTTCGAAAAGGAAAGAAGCTCTGAATACCAAGTGTTGCGGGTGCAATGGATCGAGGTAGCGAGGATTGCACTAAGTGTCAAACGAGTACAAAATGTGAGCGAAGGCATGAGCGAACATTTATACGCGAAACATGTCACAATAGGTGCTAGAACAAGGAGCCATAGCTAGGGTTTACCTAGCTAGGCAAGAAAGAGTTAGGCAAAAGAGAGGGTTCACTAGGAAAGATGAGTACAAGATATAGCAAGGAGAAGCATGGTGCACCACCTACAGCAAATTGGGATGTGCTACACTCTACACTGCAGACAATTATAAAGAACATATATAGTTCAACACACCCCCTAATTGATTGCAGTGAGATCCATGTACAGAACACCCCCTGAAGTGGTACACCCTGCAGGGCACAGTAGAAGAAGAGGCGAAGTGAGGGGGAGGAGGGACTGTGAGAGGAGAGGAGATTGGAGGCGACTGCTGAGGCTGCAGACACATGGGCCACAGGAGCGGCTGGCTCAGTTGCTACCGGAGCAAGGGCCCCGGACTACAGGAGTAGCAGGATCAGGCAGGAGCAACGGACCCACGGGTGACAGGTGCAGCAGGCTCTCTGGGCTACCAGCGGCAAAGGCTCCGGACTACAGGCGCTGCGGACGACAAGACTGCTACCTCCACTCAACCTCCCCAAAATGTCCCACCCCCTTTCACACACCCCTTGCTGCACCCCTAGCTCCACTCCCACGTCACCCCCCTTAAACCCTAAACCCTCGGCTCCCACACACCCACCCCCCTCAGCGACAGCTGCAGCAGTGGGAGACGGAGGAGGAGGAGGAGTAGGGGACTTCGCACACAACGGCCACCCCCAGAACCGCCACCCACACACGCGCCATCTTCAAACCCTAAAACGGGTGGCACGGGGCAGGAGCGCGGGGGAAGGCTCGGGGGACGGCGTGCGGCCCCCAGGGCGCCACCATGGGGCAGCGAGGGGCCGCGCGCGGCTCCCCACGGTGGCGCGACGGGGTGACGTGCCGCGCGCGGCTCCCCAGGGCGCCGCGACGAACGGGCAGCGGGGGGCCGCGCGCGGCTCCCCAGGGCGTCGCGACGGGGGGGTCGCGCGCGGCTCCCCAGGGCGTCGCGACGGACAGCGGGGGTCGCGCGAGGCTCCCCAGGGCGTCGCGACGGGCAGCGGGGGTCGCGCGCGGCTCCCAAGGGCGTCGTGACGGGCGGCAGGGGGGCTGCACGCTGTCAAACATTGCATGTTTATGTTGTGTAGGCTGTAGTGGGTTTGACCTTAGGGGGTACACAAAGTTAGGGTTTCCTACTTGTACCCACCTTGCTGTTAGTTCATTCATTCCTGGTTCAGTTATTCTGACATGGTTTCAGAGCAGGTCCTTCGCTAGGACTTAAGTGTTTTTTTCGGGCCCACCACTACTGACTGCCTACTAGCGCCTTCGTGCGCCCTACTGTCGGAGCGCTCCCTAGCGACTCCTCCCCCAGCGCCCTAGTGCGCCTTTTTTTACCGGCCCCTTAAGGCCCCGTCGACCCCGCGCGCCGCCCCTTAGCGACCCGCGCGCCGCCCCTTAGAGGCCCCGTCGACCCCGTGCGTCGCCCCTTAGAGGCCCCGCTGGCCCCGTCGACCCCGCGCGCGCCCCGCTTAGAGGCCCCGCTGGCCCCGTCGACCCCGCGCGCGCCCCGCTTAGAGGCCCCGCTGGCCCCGTCGACCCCGCGTGCGACCCGCTTAGAGGCCCCGCTGGCCCTGTCTACCGCGCGCGCCTCCCCCTTAGCGGCCCCGTCGACCCCACGCGCCGCCCCTTAGCGGCCCCGTCGACCCTACCCGCCGCCCCTTCACGCCCCGCTCGCGACAGCCACGGCCCCGCCAGAACCAGGCCGCCCGAACAGAGCCGCCCGAACCGAGCCGCCCAGTCCGAACCGAACCGCGCAGCCCGAACCGAGCCGCGCCGCCCTACCCGAGCCGCGCCGCCCTACCTGAACCGAGCCGCGCCGCCCGTACTGAGCAGCTTCTCTGGACCGAGCCGCCCTACCTGCGTCGCGCTGCCCACTGCTTTTAGGGTGCACTTACTGCTGCTACTACTGCAACTATGGCTAGTCCTCCTGTACTTCGATGCTGAGGGCCGCCCAGTGAAATTTGACACCTGGCTAGATGACCTGCACCTCTTCCTACAGCTCACTGCCAAGGAGGACATCTCACTGTACGATCATGCCCTCGGCCATGCTACTGCCCCTGGTGCAACTGCTGACAGTACTACCCGCTCACAGTGGCAGACTCATGACGCCCACGCTCGCTTTGCTATTCGCAACTCCCTGCCGATAGATGAGCGCGAGCACTTTGGCCAACACAAGACTGCTAAGGAACTGTACACTGCTGTCGTTGCCCGCTACTCCTCACCTGCTTCTGCCGCACTAGGCCGCCTCTCACTCCCCTACCTGTTCCCCGACCTGGCCTCCTTTCACACAGTTGCTGACCTCATCACGCACCTCAAAACTAGTGAGGCCCGCTTCCGTGCCGCTATGCCCGATGAGTTCCTTGCTAGGAACCCCCCCCCGCTCTGGCTCACTCTCTACCACATAGTCACCCGCCTCCCTGACTCTCTGCGTGCAGTCAGGGATCACTTCCTAGCTCGCTGCCCCACTGAGCTCACCATTGCCCTCCTCGAGAAGGAACTACTTGCAGCTGAGGCTAGCATAGTCGCTGTAGGTGCCTCTCGTGGCGACCCCCGCACCCCTTTCTTTGAGGGGTGTTCCCCTTCCCCCCTTCTTCCCTCTGTAGCCTCTGCTTCTGCTGTCGACCTCCTTGGTGCTGAGAAGGTCGGGGCTGCGTCTGCTCCGAGCGGGCGCCGCAGGAGCAAAGGGGACAAGGGAGGCGGAGGTGACGGCGGGGGAGGCGGTGGTGGATGCGGTGGCGGCGGTGGGAGTGGTGGTGGGGCTGGAGGGACTGGTGGCAGCGGTGGGGGTGGTGGCGGCAGCGGCGGGGGCGGTGGCAGGGGCGGGGGCGGCGGTGGGGGCGGAGGTGGTCGTGGCAGCGGCAGGGGAGGGGGTGGTCGAGGAGGTGGCGGCGGCGGTGGTGGTCGTGGAGGCGCTGGCGGTGGCCAGAGCCAGCAGCACACTCCGTCGCCCCAGGAGGTCCGTGAGTGGTACTCTCAGCACGGGGGGGGGGGGGGGGGGGCTTAGCTGCACGTACATCATCCGCACTGGTGACCGCACTGGCCAGACGTGTGGGAGGCCGCACCCCACGCAGCGCTGCTTCTCTCGCCTCGACGACGCCTGGCGTACTCAGTTCCCTGATGCCACTGAGCTGCCCCGTTGGCTTGATCTGCTGAAGAAGAGGGTTGATATCTATGCTCTAGACTATGATGCTATTCTCACTGCCATGTATGTGATGTTTACTAGTGGAGAGGGTGCTCAGTACCTGCGTGTTCCGCCCGACCCGGGCATTCGGACCAGTGAGGCTGCCGCTCTAGGTGCTAGTGCGACCGCCGCTCCAGGTACTTGCGTGTCTACTACCCCAGGTGTTGGTGAGGCTGCTGCTCTAGGTGCTCGTGCGTCTGTGCCCCCTGGTACTGAGTCGACTGAGGCACTGCACACCTTCACACTGGACTCAGGTGCTTCTCGCTATTTCTTTCGTGACCGCACTGCCCTTGAGCCGCTTGCTCGGCCAGTTGCTGTCTCCCTCGCTGACCCCTCTTGGGGTCCGGTCATTGCGACCTCCTCCACTGTTCTTCCCTGTCCTGCGGTCCCGTCGGGCACACTGTCTGGTCTCCACCTCCCCTCGTTCTCTACGAACTTGGTGGCGGGTTGTGCGCTCCAGGACGCGGGTGTTCACCAGTTCACCCCTGCCTACGAGCGCGTGACACACTGCACGTGTGCTCGGACGGGCCGTCACCTGGCTACCTTCACTCGGCAGCCGGGGTTGGACCTGTACACACTGACCACTGAGTCCCCTCAGGTTGCTGCGTCTACGTCTGCGTCTGTGTCAGGTCAGTTGTCGGCCCCCTGCTCGTGTCGTTCTCTGACGCACGAGACCGTGCTCTGGCACCACCGACTTGGTCACCCGTCCGTGCAGCGCCTTCGTGCCATGCACAACCCGTACCTTGTCTCTGGTCTTCCCAGGGTTCTCCCTCCCCTCCCACCCTCGCCTGCGCCTCCCTGTCTTCCCTGTGTCGAGGGGCGGCAGCGCGCCGCTCCTCACTCCTCCTCGTTTCCTCCGACCACTGCTCCTCTGCAGACACTCCACATGGACGTGTGGGGCCCAGCCAGCGTCCGTGGTCAGGGTCAGGAGAGGTACTTCCTGATAGTTGTTGACGACTACTCGCGCTACACCACGGTCTTCCCCTTGCGCACCAAGGGTGAGGTCCCTGATGTTTTGATCCCTTGGATCCGCAGAGCCCGTCTCCAGCTCAGCAAGCGCTTCCGCTCGGACTTTCCTGTCCTGCGCTTGCACTCTGACAGAGGTGGTGAGTTCTCCTCCGACCTCTTGGCAGCCTACTGTGCGGAGCACGGCATTGAGCAGTCGTTCACGCTTCCGGCCTCTCCACAGCAGAATGGGGTTGCAGAATTGGCTTGGTCATGGAGGTTGCTCGTACCTCCTTGATTCATGCGGCTGCTGTGAGGATCTAGGATCGAGCTCAGGAAAGAGAATTCGAATTGAATGTTTCACTGGGGTACAAAGCGAGGCTATATATAGGCTCGACACAAGGCAGGTAACCCAGGTGTTACGCGAATGTTCCGAGGGTCGCGAAGCGTCCCGAACAGAACCTTCCCGAACTCGGTAGAAAGCAATTCGGTGGCAACCGAATAGCTTGAGTTCGGTACACGTAACCTGGTTCGGTGCCTATAACTATAATAACTATAGTAAAGCAACGAACCTAGGAAATCAAGCAATTCATGCATGCAGAAAATAAACCTAAGCTAGGAATAGCGTAAGGAAATAATAGCAAGCATGAATAACAAGCATAAGCCGTCGTACTCTCACACGTCCCCCCCTCAAAGCTGGGTGGCGTGAGATACACCCTGCTTGACAAGATAGTCTTTGAGAGCACGGCGTGCGTTGCCCATATCAGCTTCTGGCAACCAACTCTCCTCAATGGGGTCGTATCCCTTCCAGCGCATCAGGAACTCGAGGGTCTTGCCGCCGCGGCGCCGATGAGTGAGAACGCGCTCGATCTCGTACTCCGGTTCATCCTGCACAAGAACAGGTGGTGGTGGCGGTAGCTGCCGTCCCTGGAACTGTTGGTTGGGGTCCTTGTAGGGCTTCAGTAGCTGAACATGGAAAGCGTTGTGAAGCTTCCACGTATCTGGTAAGCGCAAGCGGAATGTAACTGGTGTCACCTGTGCCTCCACGAGAAATGGACCACAGAAGCGAGGCCGGAGTTTGGATGGTAGGTGTGACAGGTTCAAGTTGCGCGTGTCGAGAAGCACCTGATCTCCGACTGCTACTGAGTGATCTCGTCGTTGGCGATCGGCATACTGCTTCTGGGAGTTTTGCATCGTGGTGAGACGCCGCTGAGTCTTCTCCCATAGCTGCTGCATGGTGGTGACGAAGTCGTGTGCGGCTTGGACGTGTGCCGGTGTGGTTGGCTGCTGTGGTGTGAGTGGTTCCCGTCCGTAACACAGGAAGAAAGGAGTTTTCCCTGTGGCCGCATGCGAGGCGTTGTTGTAAGCGAACTCTAAGGTCGGTAACTGTGTGTCCCAGTGGCTGATGTCGTCTTTGCAAGCTGTGCGCAGTAACTGTTGAACCACAGGATCTCGAACACCTTCCGTAGATGCTCCACGTGCTCCTTCATGTTCTTGGAGTAGATGAGAATGTCGTCCAGGTACACCACGACGCACTCGTCCAGCAGGGGCCGTAGGATGTGGTTCATCTCCGCCTGGAACGTCGCTGGTGCGTTGCAAAGTCCGAACGGCATCACCAAGTATTCGTAGGAGCCGTATCTCGTACGGAACGCCGTCTTGTGGATCGAGTTGTCTGCCATCTTGATCTGCCAGTAACTCGACCTTAGGTCCAGCTTCGAAAAGACTGTTGCACCACGCAGTTGGTCCAGTAAGTCGTCGATGCGCGGTATGGGGTATTTGTTCTTGACTGTCTGTTTGTTCAGTGCGCGGTAGTCGATGCACATCCGTAAACTGCCGTCTGGTTTTGGTGTGAAGAGAACTGGTGCGCCGTAGGGAGAGGTGGATGGGCGGATCAGTTGTCTGTCCAGTAGATATTCGATCTGTTTCTTCATGTCTGTCAGTTCGGTCGGACTCAGTCGGTATGGTGCACGTGAGACGGGTTTCGCACCTGGTTCCTCCACGATCTCGTGCTCGTGGGTGCGCGCTGGAGGTACGCCTGTGGGTAGGTCGTCGGGCATTATGTCTTTGTACTGCTCCAAGACCTCCTTCACTGCTGCAGGTAGCTCGGAACTCGGCTTCTCCTCCTCTGCTGCTGCCATGACCAGTGCTAAGTAACCCGTGTTACTCTCGTTCACCGTCCGTTCGAACCGTGCCAGTGTCGTTTCAGGAACGTCCCCTGTATCCGTCCAGCTTCGCAGCTCTATCCGCTTCCCGTTGTTGTAGATGCACACCTTGCTGTTGACCCAATCGATCTCGGGGTTGAACCGCTTCAGGAAATCTCGCCCCAAGATGAAATCTAAACCCTTGATGTTCGTGATCGGCAACGTCGGCTTCCATCGTAACGCACCTATGTGCAGCTGCAGTGATGCTTCGCCGTGGATGGGAAGCTTCGTACCGTCCACCATCGTTGCTGAAAACCGGGTCTCTTCCGACTTCTCTCCAATTTTCTCCAACGTCCCGCGGTCACACACCGAGTGGGACGCACCGCTGTCCACCAGTGCCTGGAGGCGTCGCCCGTTGCAGATCACCTCGAGGAGTAGTGGCTGCTGCTGCTCCGAGTAGCCGTAGATGGTCTCGCTTATAGGATCATAGGGTACGTCGAATAGATCATCCCTAGGTCCTGCGCTCGAAGCTGCTGACTGAGTATCATGTCAGAATATTATGCTCTAGCCTGTAGTGGGGTGCTCTGTAGCGAGTACAACCCTTCTAGGGTTTGCTATTTGTATCCCCATTCTTGCTAGTGCAACCCTCCTCTTTCGCCTAAACTCTCTTGCCTAGCTAGGACTCTCCTAGCTATGGCTCCTAAGACTACCGCTTATCTTGACATGGTATCAGAGCTTAACGTTCGTGGCCTGTGGGCCCACTTCACTGCTTCCGCTGCTACTGCTACTCCCTGTCCGCCGCGCGCCCCGTGGTGCGCGGCGTCGAAACTAGGGTTTTCAGCCCGCCGTGCGCCCCGAGGCGCGCGGCGGTTTTCTGCCCGCCGTGCGCCCCGAGGCGCGCGGCGGTTCTCTGCCCGCCGTGTGCCCCGAGGCGCGCGGCGGGTTCCTGCCCCGTCACTCGGCGCGTCGCCCCCGGGAGGCGCTGCGACGGGCGACGGGGACCCGCGCGTCGCCCCCCGTCGCCCGTCGTGGCCTGCGCGCGGCCCGTACTTGCTGCGCCAGGCCCGCGCGCGGCTCGGACCGCCTGCGCGCGGTTCGGGAGGCTGTGCCAGGCCCGTGGGCGGCCCGTTCTTCGCTGCCCCTGTCCTCCCCGCTGTCCCCCGTGCTTCTGAAGGCGCCCCACCCCTCCTTCTGCCCGTTCTCCTGGATTAGGGTTTGGGGTTGGGGGGTATGGGGGTGCAGCTTCTGTGTGCCGTTCCCTGTGGGCCCACTTCACTGCTTCCGCTGCTACTGCTACTCCCTGTCCGCCGCGCGCCCCGTGGTGCGCGGCGTCGAAACTAGGGTTTTCAGCCCGCCGTGCGCCCCGAGGCGCGCGGCGGTTTTCTGCCCGCCGTGCGCCCCGAGGCGCGCGGCGGTTCTCTGCCCGCCGTGTGCCCCGAGGCGCGCGGCGGGTTCCTGCCCCGTCACTCGGCGCGTCGCCCCCGGGAGGCGTTGCGACGGGCGACGGGGACCCGCGCGTCGCCCCCCGTCGCCCGTCGTGGCCTGCGCGCGGCCCGTACAGGCTGCGCCAGGCCCGCGCGCGGCTCGGACCGCCTGCGCGCGGTTCGGGAGGCTGTGCCAGGCCCGTGGGCGGCCCGTTCTTCGCTGCCCCTGTCCTCCCCGCTGTCCCCCGTGCTTCTGAAGGCGCCCCACCCCTCCTTCTGCCCGTTCTCCTGGATTAGGGTTTGGGGTTGGGGGGTATGGGGGTGCAGCTTCTGTGTGCCGTTCCCTGCTCCTCCTCCTCCTCCGTCTCCCTGTGCTGCAGCTGCCGCTGAGGGGGGTGGACCTGTTGGAGCCGTCGGAGTGGTACTAAGGGGGGGTGAAGGGGGAGTGGAGCTAGCGGTGTAGCAGCGGGTGTGTGTCGAGGGGTGTGGGACTGTTGGGGGAGGTTGAGGGGAGGTTGCCGTCGTGTCGTACGCAGCGCCTGTACTCCGGGGTGTCAGAAATAACTGAGCAGGAATGAATGAACTAGAACAGAGTTTGGTACAAGTAGGAAACCCTAACTTTGTGTACCCCCTAAGGTGTAACCCACTACAGCCTAGACAATATAAACATGCAATGTTTGACACACCCCCATAGGCGCAGTGGGAGACAACCACAGGGTCACAAGACCAGTCAAAGCAAAGTAAAGCAAGCTCAGGGTGGATCTCAAGGATTCCACACAAATTCCGAGCACAAGCAAGCGGTCACAAGACCAGTTCACATGCAGGTTTATAACAAAGCAAGAGATACAGTGATCACAACCTAGCAAAAGTAAACAAGTAGGCATATATATATAGTGATCACAGTACAAGCAAGGTCAAGAGGTAAGCAAGTGAGGCCCAGTAGGTACAAGGCCTAGTAGAGTGCAAAAGCGCTGATGGTCACAAGGCTGAAGCGCCTTGGTGAACACATCAGCAGTGTTGGCCTCCGTGGCCACGTAACGCAGACAAAGCTGACCACGCTGCTGTAGCTCTCGAGCAAGGAAGTACCGCAGAGCGATGTGCTTCGTTCTGTGCTCCAGTCTGTGCTCCTCACACAAGGCAATGGCAGCCTTGTTGTCGACGTACAGCACTGGAGGAGAACGAGGCCGCTCTCCGAGGTCGGTCAGCAGGTAGGTCAGCCAGCGTAGCTCCTGAGCAGCCATGGCTGTGGCGTAGATCTCAGCCTCACAACTGGAGCTGAGAACAGAAGAAGAGCGAGTAGAACGCCAAGAAACTGAGCCAGAGCCAAGGCTGAAGGTGTAACCCTGGGACGACCGCTGAGTAGCCTGGTCGTCCGCCCAAGAAGCGTCTGAGTGCCCTGTGAGAACAACCCGGTCTCGCCCTCCAAGCACAAGCCCCATGCCCGACGTACTGCACAAGTAGCGCAACACCCTCTTAGCAGCATCCATGTGCTCCTTCCGGTGACGGCCAGGAGCGACATAGCGTGCTAGGATGCTAAGAGGGTATGCAAGGTCAGGTCGAGTGCAGGTCATCAGGTACATGAGGCAGCCCACAAGCTCTGGATACGGGCCACTCGGCTCTACGGACTCATCCGAAGGCAGAGCTGAGAGCGAGTGACCGGTAGGCAGAGGAGTGGACTGAGGCGAGGAGTACGTGAAGCGGAAGCGCTGGAGAACCTGCTGCACCATGTGTGACTGAGTCAGGGTGATGGTGCGCCGTGCTCTGTCCCGGGTGATCCGCAAGCCAAGATAGCTCGTCAGCTCACCCAGGTCTGTGCACGTGTGTCTCCTCTGCAGCTCCGACTTCACGTGAGCGAGTGCCGCGGTGTCAGCAGTGGCAAAGACCAAGTCGTCGACGTACACGAGGATGTAGAACGGCGGCAGCGAGGTGTCGGTGCGTAGAAACAGCGACGGGTCAGCAGTAGAGGGAGCGAACCCAAGAGCCGCAAGTGTCGTCCTCAGTGTGTCGTGCCACTCACGTGGCGCCTGGCGGAGACCGTAGACCGGCCGCTGAAGCCTCCACTGGGTGCCAGGAGGAACTGACCCAGTGAAGCCAGGGGGGCGGCGCAGCCAGATCTCCTCGTGCAGGCTGCCCTGCAAGAAAGCAGTGCTGAAGTCAAGAGAGTGAAGCTCGTAGTCGCGGTGAGCGGCTATGTGCAGCAGCACCCGAAGAGTAGTCATCTTCGGGGTGGGGGAGAAGGTCTGAAAGAAGTCAACTCCCTCTCGCTGACTGAAGCCTCGAGCCACGTAGCGCGCCTTGAAGACAGGTGGAGAACCCGGCGGCCGCTTCACCCTGAAAATCCACATGCCACTGACGATGTTCGCCCCAGGAGGGGGAACCTCGTCTACGTAGGTGCCTGTGGACTTCCAGGAGGCCATCTCTGCGTCCATGGCTGTCTGCCACTGAGAGGAGTAGGGACCCGCCATCGCCTCAGCGTAAGAGCGTGGGGTCGGGATGTCTGGTGCATCCGGGTCTCCCTCAGGGGCAACTAGCAAGGACACGAGACGGGGCAAAGCAGCAGCAAGGCAGTGGAACTCCTCCTGTCTGTCCTCAAGGACGTCCGTGCCGAGGGCACACTCACCCCCGACGGACGGAGGACAGGCAGACGCAGACTCAGACCTAGCGACAAGGCTGGCAGCGTAGTCTAGGCGACAGCGAGCAGCAAAGTCAACCAACTCAGCGACCAGAGCAGACGCAGTAGAGGACTCAAAGGTCGGGTCAGTGACAACTGTAGCGAGGAGACGGGTAACAGTGGGACTGGCAGCACGACGGGAGTCAGACTCCGGGTCAGGAAGAGTAGGAAGAGAGGACGCAGGAGGAGACGGCAGCGGGACACGCTGCGGAGCAGTGGAGGGACGCAGAGTCATGTAGTGAGTGCCAGGGACAGGAGGAGGACGCTCACGTGGGACACGACGACCAGTGCGAGCAGTACGAACAGGCGACGCAGGACGAGACTCAGGCTCACGACGCTCTGTAAGACCTCCTGTGGGACCAGCGTAAGGGGAGGGAGCAGGGAGAGGCGAGACAGGCGGTAACTGTGACTGCGGCTGGACAGGCAGAGGACACTCGACGGAGGGAGGAGGACAAGGAGGAGGAGCCTGACCAAGAACCTGCTGAAGGAGCGGTACGAAGTACGGTCGCGGTCGCGCAGCGTCTCCAGAAGCAGCAGGGACACCAGTGGCAGCCCCAACGCCCGAGTCCTCAGCACCAGCAGCAGCTCCAACGCCCGAGTCCTCAGCACCAGCAGCAGCACCACCGGTCGGGTCCTCAGCACCAGCAGCAGCTCCAACGTCCGGGTCCTCAGCACCAGCAGCAGGGCCACTGGTCAGGTCCTCAGCACCAGCAGCAGCGCCACCGGTCGGGTCCTCAGCACCAGCAGCAGCTCCAACGCCCGGGTCCTCAGTACCAGCAGCAGCTCCAGCCCCCGGGTCCTCAGCACCAGCAGCAGCTCCAGCGTCCGGGTCCTCAGCACCAGCAACAGCACCACCGCTCGGGTCCGCAGTACCAGGAGCACCACTACGAAGACTGCAGCGCCGCGTGTACCACTCGCGGATCACCTGAATGGGGGGGAGCTCCTGGGTAGGAGGGGAAGTACCGGGACGAGCTCCAGAAGCACCTCTCCGTAGGCGGCAGTACTCGAGGTACCTCTCCTGCAGCTGCTGGGAGGAGGGGGCTCCTCCAGGTGGAGCACGCTCAGGCTCAGCACCCCCAGACTCAGCACCCCCAGACTCAGCACGTCCAGACTCAGCACCTCCAGGCTCCGCACCTCCAGGCTCCGCACCCCCAGGCTCCACACCTCCAGGCTCAGTACCTCCAGGCTCCGCACCTCCAGGCTCCGCA